GACTTGACTTGGGACTTGTCTGTCTTCACTTGGGACTTGACTTGGGTCTTGTCTGTCTTGACTTGGGACTTGACTTGAGAATTGTCTGTCTTGACTTGGGACTTGACTTGGGACTTGTCTGTCTTCACTTGGGACTTGACTTGGGACTTGTCTGTCTTAACTCGGGAATTGACTTGGGACAAGTCTGTCTTGACTTGGGACTTGACTTGAGAATTGTCTGTCTTGACTTGGGACTTGACTTGGGACTTGTCTGTCTTCACTTGGGACTTGACTTGGGACTTGTCTGTCTTCACTTGGGACTTGACTTGGGACTTGTCTGTCTTAACTCGGGAATTGACTTGGGACAAGTCTGTCTTGACTTGGGACTTGACTTGGGACTTGACTTGGGCCTCGAATGCAAAGACTCGAAACTTACTAATGACTTGTTCCCACCTCTGTGATTTGCTGAGACTCATGGCAGATCCATTACAAACATATTGCAAAATAGAAACATTTGGAGCTCTCAAGAGCTCAAACAAAGATATGCACTGAATTGTTTGCCAAATCACCAATATGCTATGATTACGGAGAAAACTGATCATAGACCAGCAGTTTTAAGCTTTTCCCTCTCATGAAACTGTTGGATGACAGCAAAACCACATTTAACTATTCTTAATTGTCTAACTATTTTAGTATCATTGTACAATTAGATCTGACCTATTTCAATAAGGTCCACTCACTTTAAAGTTTCTGGTTCAGTCAATAAACGCGTAGTGTTTCTTTACAACGTGACATCACCAACTACTGTCCTGGCAGCAGAATTCTGCGTTTTTGTCGTTTTTGCAGATCTGTGTAAACGGGGATATATTTTCATCTGTACGTAACACTTTTCAAAAACGCAAAGGAAAAACTATTCCGTGTTCAGCACATCATTGTTGTGTAAACATACCCCAAAATGGATCTACTATCAGCTAAGTCAGTGTTTCCCAACCTTGTTTTTCGTGGCACCCTTATCTGGTCTCCCTTATCTGGTGTGCCTCAGAAAACAAGGATGGGAAACACTGATCTTGGTGAGTGGTTAAACTGAGGAGTGTTACAATTCAACCTCTGTTACAGAATTATAAAATGAATGTGGATAGGTTGTTCTTGGAATAATTTTAGTATTGGGTTCATATTGGCATCTATGACTTTTGATTGTAGACGTACTTTGCATTGCATACTTTGTGTGTGTGGAAGAAATGATCAGTGGTTGTATTGTATCCTGTGCTCCTTAATCTTTTAATGAAGTTTAAACACAGCACCGCATTCCTATGAAACAAATCTCTAATCAAACTCTCTTACGGCATTTTATTGGCTGACCAGTATATCAGCCTTTGTTAATTGATTAAAACAAGTGTTAATCCTCAGCAAATACGATAGTCCAAAGCCCAACAGATAGAAATGAGACCAATTAGCAAAACAGATTGCAATCCATGATTAGATATTGTGAACACCTTTATGGAATTCCAGTTACAGGAACAAAACATCTCACAGGCTGGGACTTCAAGGAATCTTAGTGGAGGAGATATAAACTCTGGTTTGGCCACAGGGAAATGTCATAGATATCATTTTAGCTTTTTCATGGTATGAGTGATATGAGGTACTACTAATATACATTAATAATTTAGTGATGTTATTATTTCACATAATAGGTCTACCACTGCATGCACATGCCAGTCCGACTTTTAAAATATTTTAATGTTTTATATAATGCATTTTCAACTGCTTATGCACAATGAAAGCCTGGCTTGACTCTTGGGCTAAAGCAAGTTTATAAAATGGATAGTTATGTTTCTGAATTCATGTTAGAAATATATTCTGTGTAAAAAGAAATGGTGAAAAAAAATATTGAACTACTACGGAAAATAGCCACATAATGCAAAATTCAACATGCATATTAGATAAAATGTCCTCCAACTCAATCTGTTGTTGGTGGATGCCATTACCTCATGGATCATTACAATTGTCCAGTGCATACAAATAGGTGTTTAGGAAAGTCCTGTGGTTGTGTGTGTTCCTACAGTACCTGTATTTAGCTTTTTTTGCAGAAAAAAAAAATGTCAGGGGTAGCAATTGGACTTGTAGCAAATACTGAAGGGTATGGAAACTAATTAAAAATTAAAAATAAATAGAAAATTGCAACTTTTTATCTCACAATTCTGACTTTTTTTTCCTCAAAGAATTACTTGATACTGTTTATACCGTTCAATTCTGAGCAAAAATGTCTGAATTGCGTGATGCAAATTGACAATATGAGGGAAAAAAGTCAGATAAAAAGTAGCAATTTCCTTTTTTTTTTTTTTTTACTCAAAGCTTTCATGCTTTTTTCCACAGTTGTGATCTTTGACAGATCCTCTTTCTGTTTCAGTAACTCCTCAAACTACTGGGGCGTTTGTCTTCTAGCTACGGGAATGGCTAATGAACATGAAGCTAATCTTGTGGCACAACATTCATTTTTCTTCGTCTTGTCTTAGGCGCTGAGGTGTGCTGCTTTTTCTAGCGCACGTAATCCCTCAGGCGAAAAGAGCCTTTGGGGTATTTGAATGTTTTCATTTCCATATATATTTAATTTTGTCGTCTGACATACTTTTCCTCTCTCAGTTTCGTGACTCACCAATAAGCATTCCACAAAGAGACACTACATATAAGTTAGCTACACACATGGCCTTACCAGTACTCCTCAACCTAGTTTTTCACATTTGTTTTATATAGTTCAAGACATAAACGAAGGGACTCAGACCATCAAAAGACAGGCCTAATTCCTCTGTTCTGCGAGAAATAGTCAGATGTTATTAAAATGAGCACAGGCCCATGAGAACAGCCGCTCTGGTGTTAAATAGCAGCTGGAAGGAGAGCAGGATTTTTTGAACTACTTTTTTGGAGTTGAAATGCCATTCAAGACATTTAGGCCAATGATAAGCTTATGTTCAGAAATATTAAAATGGTCTTCAATCAGGAGCTTTTCCAACCCGAACTCATGGGAAAATGAAACAGTTTCACGAGGTGGCGATTTTGTATACATTTATAACAAGTACGCATGAAGGCCCACTGCTAAATATAACCGTCACTGGGGGTAAGCAGATTGAACAAAAACACGCAAGTGAGATTGTGTGAATTCATTATAGTCACCAATTTAGCAAAATGTAAAATGGTTACGAATTGCCAAGATATTATGTTTCTCTGCAAACATCCACACGCTAGATCATTTTTTTGTTGATTGCATTTCAGGTCAATATCAGTTTGACATGTTTTTTTTATATTATATTTGCATAGTTTTGAATAACAGTGCAGCCTGCTATAGGGCTGTGTATTGAAACCATTGTATGTGTATATTTTTGTATGTAATGACAAAAAAATGTCTGTTTCTGTATCTGTATTTTAGTATGATGTGGATGTGAAATCGTTATATTAGTCAGACACAAACGGTTCCCTCAACCTATACATTGTGTGCTGCATACTATCGTACTGCATACTTGCTCAAAAGTAATAGACTTTACAAAAGTGGAAACTACATAAGATTCAGTGTCTCGGTAAGAATAACATTATCTTTGAGATGTATGAGACACAATAAAAAGCTGCCTGGTCATTTTTGGCTTGGAATTTACATTATCCAGTGGCCACTGGACAAGAGTTGACCTCAGGCGAGGGCAAAATTGCATAAATATGTGGGTTGGTTGGCTGATCAAAAATAATGACCTCAAGAGGAACTCTATAATGAGTCGGAGCACTTTTCCATATCTAAACATGCCACGCATGGCTGAACGCATTCATATTCCGCCCAGTCTTGTAATACACAGTTACTCTGCAGAGGCAAATCCCACAAATAGGAAGTTGCTGTGGACAAGAAGAGAATCTCAAGGACACAATGTCAAATCTAAAGGCTGTACGGCTCAGCAGAGGGACTGGAGGTGTTTCTAATCAAAGAAATATTATGTTTTGCCACTTTTGTATAGAAAATCAAGAAATGATGATTTTGATGATACATTTGTACTTGAATACAAAAAAAAATAAAATAAAAAGCCAACTAGATGTATAGTGCTTTGATTTTATCAAATCAATGTTTGTATGTTCCCTGGGATCTAAAGTATATCACTTTGGATACAATTGTCTACTAAATGAATAAATGCATGAAATGTGAGATTGCTTTCCCATACCAGAGCTTGTGGAAAAATAGTGTCATGAAATCAACACTGACCTATTTACTTAATACACTCTTAGAAAAAAAGGCTTCATTGAGGTTCATTAAAGCATAGGGTCCTGAATAGAACCTTTTGGTGGTTCCAAATAGGTAGCGCTGATAGAACCTTTTATAGTTCTGTATAGAACCTTTTCTTCTAAGAGTATACACTTAGAAGGCATGAAGGCAGAAAGCTATGTGAAAGCCACGTCACAAACCAATACATTGATGTTTGATAAATTAACTCTCGCCCTAAGTATTTTCTTGTTGAACATCATGTTTTTACTAAGAATATAATCTGATTCAGATTATAGGGAAGAAATGAAATGTGAACACTGCTTTCCAACGTAAAGGCAGCTACACGTAAGCAACAAGAAAAGACCAATCAGAAATCAGCATGCAAATAAATCCAATTAAATAAAGCAATTTCGATTCACTGACGTATTCTCTCAGGTAGATTTTGAAGGCAGAAGATTCTAATGCAAGTCATTTTATTAAATAAAATATAGTTAACAACAATAACAACAACAAATTATGCTAATATTATCTACACAATAGAATATTTACCAAAAAAATGATTTAATGTGCATTAAGGGACTTATCTGGGGAAAAAAAACTCTAGGAAAAAGGCACATTGTTGCCTCTAATCCTAATTATAACACTGTCAATATTAAATCGTTAATCTTTAATCTGAGCAAAACTGATATCTCATTTTAAAAAGGTCTCAGCAGTGCAGTGTTCACGAGGTCCATGAGTTGAGTAACTACTTGAGAGCTCTTCAAGATTTGAAGGTTAGCAAACTCACCCGATGACATGAGGGTGCTCGGTGGTGAGGAGAGCGAGTGGTGACTTGTCCCTCTCGATGAGCCAGACGGTGTAACGTCCACTCTGCCTCGGGTGCAAAAACACGGTGATATCCAGACCACAGGGCCGGTGGGTGGAACGTAGCCAAGGGCTCAGAACCCACGGTCCCGTCAGAGCCGAGCCATTCACGGGGAGAAACCGCCCTGGAGAAACAAACACAGGGAAACATTTATTTATGAAGAGAAATCTTTCTTTTAATTTTCATTGGCCCTGTTTACACCCGGTATTAAAGATGTGTTTTGGTCGATCGGATCACAGGTAGACCAGGGAGACACAATCCTGTTAACACCAGGGGCCTCATGTATAAACGTTGCGTACGCACAAAATGGGCATAGAAATATGCGTACGCATTTTTCCACGCGCACATCGGGATTTATAAAAAATAAACTTGGCGTAAATAAGTGCGCACCGTAAGGATGCTCTTGACCGTGCGTACGCACTCTTTTAGAAGATTATAGGTTTTGGCGACACCGATGGTGAGCTGGAGTCAAATGTCTTTTTGCTTACTATTAGACAGAGAATCTAAAGAAAATTATACATCTACAGAAAGATAATACAAATATAATTTCACAAACCTATCATCACTTGAAGCAAACATCCATCCCTTCTTAAATGACCGTGCCAGCACGCGCGTTGGGCCGTTTGGTGAAACTGACGCACATATAGCCTATAATCCAACGGCAGATGAAGTAAAACCGTAAATCTTCATTATGAGTCCAAATCATAAATACAGTCCATATTCACAATAACAGTTTAAATAAATAAGAAAATGTTTTAAACTATGTTTTACTTCTGATATAAACATTTAGATTAAATATGCCGTTCTCATTACATTACTCAAACTCTTAAACTACATGCAATCATTACTGAGAAGTTATATATATATATATATTCAATAAATAGAAATAGACCTATTTGTTGTGGATGCATTGCTTTTGAACACTTTTCTTCTGGCATGCTGTGTTTTAATGTTTTAACTAGAGATTGTCTGAGAAAACTGTTTCATGCAAATAATGCACAACCATGTCTATCTCTTTCCATTAAAATATAAATCAATTAAAAATACTATTTGGCCAGTGGAAAAGATTGAGAAAAACTTTCTCTGAAATGTATTTAACACTATTTGATTTATTCATTCAAAAACAAGGCAAGGATATAGGCTACTAAAAAAAATGTTTGTAATAATGTGACGGCACATCCGCATTTTATATTTTCCTAACGTCTTGTACCGTTAAACTTGGTATCACATGGATGAATAATCATATGCAAATGATATGCAGATTTAAACTAGGCGTTGTGATCTCCATATATGGTTATTTCGGGGAGGAGACGCATGTGCGCACAATCTCCCGCTGACTGGGATTTATAAAGTGAATTCTGCGCAGGTTCTGGCGTACGAACGGTTTTATAAATCTGAAAACTTTTGTGCGTACGCAAATTCTGCCTTATGTGCGTACGCACGCTTTAAGGATGAAATCTACGCAAAGTTTTATACATGAGGCCCCTGGTATTTTAATTCATCCCTTTTGTCCACTTTCAACCACTTCTGTCCTGATTTCTTCAAGGGGAGGTTCTACAGGTGGGTAAATGTATGGGCATTTCAGATCTTTCAATCTAATGGATGAAATAAACTCACTCATTGGAACCGACGGACAAAACACATGGAGAGTGTAAAAAATCAAAATCAAATGCAGTCCAATGTTTGAGTTCATATTAAGAAATATAATTTTAGACTTAGATTTTAGTTTTAAAAAAAAAAAACCTACAGTTTATGACATTGTTGAGATTTCTTGAGATATTTTTTCAGGTGAAACATCTAAGATAATAGAGATGTCAGAATAAGGCTCTTTGCTCTCTTGGGAGAAACAGTTGAGATTAAAGAAATCTTGTCTTGATTTTTCTTTTCAGTGAGCGCTACCAAAGAGCATTTTACAGCAGTCAGCGGTCATCTTGGTAACACCTGCAGGCAGTTCATTTCTGTGCTGCTTGTTACAGTCTTCTTGCATTCAGAAAGACAACAACTATGAAGGTACTTTTGGAGCAAAACCACTGAGCACCTGTGACTGTGGAGGAGTTTGTAGCTGTAGAGAATAGCCACACATGTGTATGTCAATTTGAAGTCACGGAGAAAAAATGAATTTGAAGTGTTGCAAACTTAAAATACTCTTTTATCTCTCCCACAAACACACAGTTACACCTTCAGAAATTCTTCACTGCAGGTGCACAAATCCTATTAGGTCACTTGATGGAGTTTTTCGGTTCATTGCCACTGTTGCCTTTGGCTTGCACAGTTGGGGATATTCAAATTAATTAACCAATCGATTAGCTCTACCAAACGTGGATGTTTTTCCACTAAGAAACGAATATGTTTTGATTGATACTGTGAAGCTGCTTTGATGCAATCTATATTGTGAAAAACACTATATAAATATGCTTGACTTGACTATTCTATTACACATTAAGAAACTCATACACTCAAATTGTTGCTACAGTTGCTGCAGTGAATATGGTGCAAAACACATAATTTGCTAATTAATATGTACATTTATGTAACGGACACTTGTGGAATATTTTGTCACAAATTCATTGCTTTTCTTGTATATGTTCATAGTACATGTACATTCACAATTCCCGCTTGCAAAATCTGCTGGTATGAGTCTTAAACTGTGTTTTTTTTTCTCTAACAAATAACAAGTACCACACACTGTCACTTTTTCACCATGTATCGGAAATGTGGAGTGTTCAGAGATCAGAGAATTCTGGCCAATCAAAGGAGCTTATTTGAGGGTCTGGATGATGGGGCGAAACGTGCACAATCCGCAAAATTTTAGGTTTGATTTTGTTCTATGCTGTTTAGCTATTCTTGTGTGTCAGAAATATGCAAAAATCACATCTCATCTGTTTAGTAACCATGGCGATTTCAGTTAGGATCTATTGACTATAGTTTTATTGAGCTTAAAACACAGGATAGATTGATTGTTACTAACATTAGCCCTTAATCATATTTCAACTGGATCAGCACAAACTCACAATTTCGCAGAAGTTGTGATAATTTATTTTTAACACAGTCTCATCCCAAATCGTCATATAACTGACGTTTTGGGACGTATTTTGACCATACGTCAATATCCGCCTTTTTAGGGCCCCCTTAAACGTCGGTAGATGGCGATCCCGGGCCGTCATACAACTGACGCTTTACCTTTAACGTCAGTTAGGTGACGGGTTAGGTTTAGGGTTAAGTTTAGGTATGGGGTAGAGTTAGGATCCCATAACCTCATCTACCGACGTTTAAGGGGGCCCTAAAAAGGCGAATATTGACGTATGGTCAAAAGACGTCCCAAAACGTCAGTTATATGACGATTTGGGATGAGACCGGGTTGTTATTTTAATTCCAGTACAATATTTTGAAGCACAGCCAGGGTGACAATTAAATAGCCTTTTATTATAATGAGATGATTTGTTGTTCAATACGTTCCAAGAAAGCTGATTTGGCAAAGTTAATTTGCATTAGAAAACTGCCATGCTTGAGTTGCTGAAAGGATTAAAATATACGGTTATTTTTCGTCAGATCTAGAATTCTGGGTGGTCTAGCAAGTTTTTGGCAATAATGTATATATTAATAATGCTTTTCTAAACTGAAATAGCCAGACTTTTTCTTCCAAGACATACATTTTTAAATAAGTAGCCTGTTTTCTTTTCATACGTCGCTGTACACTTCTCAGAGCGTCTACGGGAATGTGGATCTTATGAGTATGTGTGAAAGTGAAATTCATAAATTGGTGGCCCAGGCTGCAGACGCGGAGCCCATGTAGAGCCAAAATAGATGAGTGAGGGGAGGAAAATGACAACACACCAGAGGAAAACGAAATAAATAATGAAAGAGAGAAGAAAAATCAAAGCTCTGTCTGTGGGCTTTGATTTAGAGTCCTCCCTCTCAACAGCCTCATTCAGCTCTCTCAATCAGGACATTTTCCACAGGGCCAGAGCACGAAAAAAAAAGACAAAGGAAACCTTCTTTTGAAAAAAAAAAAAGGAATGAAAACAGCATCAGTGAAAAGATGGAGGGAAATTGTCCCGGAATATAGCATTTTCATTATTCACAGAGTTATCTGAATCCAGCAAGGAGTTGTTAAAGCATCATATGTTTGGCGTTTGGTTTGTTCAACAGCCCATGAATTGTTATAGGCATCTCATTTAACTCTGAACTTAAAACATTGCTCTAAATATGTCAAATTCAGTGCATGCCAAGTGTGCATCATGAATAATACTAATTAACAATCGAGTATACTAATAAAAAGCAGGGAATTCTTGGTTAACCTTCTCTTAAAATTAGTATTTATCATATGTATAAAACAGTTTCTTTTTTTTATAACTTTAACTTTCTTTTTTCATAAATCTGGTTAAAAAATAACAATCTTTTAATGTTTGAAAGAATTCAAGATTAAGGATGAATGGCTTTCACAATCCCCAGTTTGTTGAAATTCTTTATCTTAAACATGCTGTGCCCTTTAGAAAAAGTATATAATAATAGACCGCATGTTTCTGTAACTGACTGCAGGGTACTTGAGGTTTTGATTTCTCTTGAAAGTGTATTATTAAACTGATTTATTTTTTAAACTGTGTTAAAATTCAATGAAACGTATCAAGTTTAAATGTGGTCGCAGCAGGGTTTGTGCTAACTTCTCCACACTTACAAAATCAACTCAGTGCGTAATTTGACTACGGATTCCTCAACTTTTGAATACCACTTTTGCATCTTGGCGAAAGCATTACAAAACCAAACACAAGTCTTGCTGCACACTGCCTAACTTCTGATTTCACATGTCTTACTTGAAAATGTATTTTGGCAATTGTCTGAAAGTCCAAACCTTAATTGTCTTATTTAACATTTTCAAGTCATGTCTTAAACTTGCCAGCCAGAATAATATATATATCTAGAAGATAGGAAGGAATGAAGGAAGGATACAAGAGAATCGTTATACAAATTTTATTGTTGTTGATTTTTTTTTTTTTTTTTTTTTTTTGATATAAAGTTAGTTATTGTGTAGCAGGATGTGCAGCTGTGTGTTTCCCATTAGGGATGGAAGATAATCACTTACAAAAGGCTTGGTCTTCATTTATTTACACTTGCAATCATCTTCTA